GTCACATTGGATCAAACTCTCCTGAGATTTTCAGAAATGGCTCTTCAATTTGGGAAAGGGAGTAGGACAGAAGAAATGATGAGGGTCAGTGGCTAATAAAATGAACCAAATGAGGATTGAATTCATACCACTTTTGAGGTAATGATAGTGAACGTTTCATAACCTTATTAAATGACTCGCTCACTTTCACATATGGGTACTCACAGGCATGTAGCCGGGAGGGGGGGGCCTCGGGGGGCTTCAGCCCCCCCCCCCCCAAATTCTCATGGTGGTTTGCAAAAAGGCCTTACTGGTGCATTACTTAAACTGTTATGTTTATTCATATCATGATCTGATCACCATATTCAATATATCCCATATGCATGGGGGTATTGGGGTAATGATACAAAAGGTTGGCTAGGGTAGACCCTCTTTCACTCAGACTCAATCCCCCCCCAAAAAACTCAGCCCCCCGAAACCCCCCCCCCCTGAAAAAAATTCACACACACACACACCCGAAACAAAATCCTGGCTATGGGCCTGGGTACTCAGTTTGTTTGATGAGACTTTGTGTGACAGATAATTGTGATACGAACACAATTGATGATATGACGATTGCAATGATAGCTCAAGCAAAGCTAGTGTTGAAAAGAAAACAGCACAATACTATTGTTACAAGTAAAATGTTAAAAGCATAATAACCACCACTTTGTAAATGTTTGGGGCATTTTCTTAGTTTTCTAGAATTGATTTACCAGCATTCTTGTGTTAAAGTACTTGATGTTTCCTTACTGAAATAATTATTATTGTTAATAAACTTCTCTATACCAAGGAAGTATCTTCACCTGACCAATTGTGGCAGGCTTTCAGTGAGAATTGCTGTCAGCCTCAAGTGAATGGCATCACTGTGTTTTATAATTTCACAATGTCAATCAACAACTCCAGTACAAGAATAAGTTGGGTCTTTTTATGGGTTGGCTGGTTTAAATAATCAGTTAGCCACTTTTACAACATTTCAGAGTTGGAAGGAATCTAAGGCCCCTTCTACACTGCCATATAATCCAGATTGTCACCACCCTGAGTCCCCTTGGGGAGATAGGGTGGTATAAAATAAAAATAAAATTATTATCATTGTTGTCACCACCATTATCAAATCAGATAAAAACTCAAATCAAACCACATTATCTGCTTTGAACTGGATTTTGGGAGTCTACACTGCTATATCATCAAATTCAAAGCAGATAATCAGGATTTTATATGGTAGATAGGTCCAAACAGGCTTTTAATCCCCTCACTGCTGGAATTCACAGCTAAAGCATCCCCATGAGGCAACTATCCTATTTCACATCTGAAAACCTTCAGCAAAAAAATTAGTCTACCATCTCCTAAAGACAGTTCTGCTCTCAGCAGTTCTTACTCGTTTGGAAGTCAGGATCTTCTTTCTTGTCATTTGAACCCATCAATACAGGTGCTATTCACAGAAGCACTTAACCCAATGGTTCTCAACCTTCCTGATTCCATGACCCCTGAATAGAGTTCCTCATGTTGTCATGACTCTCAACCATAAAATCATTTTCATTGCTACTTCATAACTGTAATTTTCTACTGTTGTGAATCCTAATGGAAATATCTGATATACAGAATGTATTTTCATTCACTAGACCAAATTTGGCACAAATACCCAACATGCCCAAATTTGAATACTGGTGGGGTTGGGAGGGGATTGATTTTGTCATTTGGGAATTGTAGTTGCTTGGATTTATAGTTCACCTACAATCAAAGAGCATTCTGAACTCCACCAATGATAGAATTGAACCAAACTTGGCACACAGAACTCCCATGACCAACAGAAAATACTGGAAGGATTTGGTGGGCATTGACCTTGAGTGTTGGAGTTGTAGTTCACCTAAATCCAGAAAGCTCTGTGGACTCAAACAATGCTGGATCTGAACCAAAGTTGGCACAAATACTCAATGTGCCCAAATGTGAATACTGGTAGAGTTTGGGGGAAACAGACCTTGACATTTGGGAGTTGTAGTTGTTGGGATTTATACTTCACCTACAATCAAAGAGCATTCTGAACTCCACCAATGATGGAATTGGGCCAAATTTCCCACATAGAACCCCCAGGACCAACAGAAAATATTGTGTTTTTTGATGGTCTTTGGTGACCCCTCTGACACACACCCCTCACGACCCCCCCAGGGGTCCCAACCCCCAGGTTGAGAAACGCTGTCTTAAAGGTACCAGATACTGTCTGATTTGAGAACCTAAGCAGGGTCAGCTCTGGTTACTACCACTGCATGGGACAACCCCAATAAGTATGGGGCTATATTTCAGAAGGGGGGAAAACTTGCAAAACCAACTACTCTGAGTATTCGTTGCTTAAGAAAACCCCTAAGAAATCCATGGGGTCTCCTCAAGGTCTCAGGCGACTTGAAAGCACAGAGGGAGAGGGGGAGGAAGAGGCAGTCATACAAAGGACAGCAAAGCTGCTTCAGCAAAAATAACCTCTTGTATGAGCAGGGCCAACTGCTTAAGACCTTCCTTTCCTTTTCCATCACCTCCCTCCGAATGAGCGTCTTTCTGACAAACCCTGAGTAAGTTGGCTCTAGGATCGCCCCTTCCACAGCTTTTTGGGTCTGAATTCTTCAACCACAATTTTAAGTTACAATCCCCTTATTCTAAACTAGCTATCCCTTGCCACGCGTTGCTGTGGCCCAGTCTCGTGGGCTGGAAAATAAAATAATGAAAAAGTGTTGGTTTCTAATATATGTAATGTCTTGATTCTTGTGGGTAAAAAAGTATTTCTTGTTCCTTTGTCAGTGTTGATGTGGAGATTGTCTGGTTTGCCTACTCTGAAATATGCAATAAATAATTGTCCTTTTTTCGGGGTCCCTTTCAAATCTATGATACTATATCTGTGTGTGTGTGTGTGAATCATATCTATCTATCTATATCTATGGCTCTTTGTCAGGAGGGCTTTGATTACGTTTTCTTGCCTTGGTGAAGGGAGTTGGACTTGATGGCCTTAAGTATTTTCTGTTGGTCATGAGGGTTCTGTGTAGGAAGTTTGCCCCAATTCTCTTGTTGGTTGGGTTCAGAATACTCTTTGATTGTAGGTGAACTATAAATCCCAGTAACTACAACTCCCAAATGTCAAGGTCTATTTCCCCTAAACTCCATCTGTGTTCATATTTGGGCATTTGGAATATTCGAGCCAAGTTTGGTCTATTGTTTGAGTCCACAGTGCTCTCTGGATGTAGGTGAGCTACAACTCCCAAACTCAAGGTCAATGCCCACCAAACCCTTCCAGTATTCTCTGTTTGTCATTGGAGTTCTGTGTGCCAAGATTGGTTCAATTCCATCCTTGGTGGAGTTCAGAATGCTCTTTGATTGTAGGTTAACTATAAATCCCAGCAACCACAACTCCCAAATGACAAAATTAATTTTTTTCAGTGATGGTCACTCCTTGGGTTAGTAGATGTCTTGTGGCCAAATTTGGCGCCAATTCGTCCAGTGGTTTTTGAGTTATGTTAATCCCACAAACGAACATCACACGTTTATATATGTAAATCAGTGCAATGCTCGCTGTGTTTTGTGGGAGTTGTTACCGCAGACCTCTCCTACTCCTCTGGTTTCCTTCTCCAACTCGGCGTGCTCAGGGTGTGTAGGATTACGACTACCAATGGGGATGATGGGACATGTCATCTGTTTCAGAGGACGGAGCTGGGTATTATGAAATCCATGGGCTTATCAGAAGATCACAGACGACTTGAAGGCACATGTCCCCATGAATTTTCACAGGGGTTTCTTAGGTAAGGGATACTCAAATGTGGTTTTATCCCTTCCTTCCTTGTTGGCGACTTCCCATTCAAGTACTAACAAGTAGTGATCCTGCTTAGCTTCCAAAATCACTGTGCCTTTATTGCAGGCATGGGCAAACTTCGGCCCTCGAGGTGTTTTGGACTTCAACCCCCACAATTCCTAACAGCCGGTAGGCTGTCAGGAATTGTGGGAGTTGAAGTCCAAAACACCTCGAGGGTCGAAGTTTGTCCATGCCTGTTTTAGGGTATTTAGACCCATCTGAAGGAAATCCCCTTGGAGAAAGCTGCTAAAACAATGTCCTGGGCTTTCTCTCTTCCCCTCCCTCTGTCTCTCTCTCTCTTCGTTGTCTCTTTTGGAGTCAAAATACAACGAAATCAAGCCAGTTTTACTTCGGGTCTGAAGACAAAAAGCCAAACAGAAGAATCTATCTAAGGGACACGTTCGTTTCTCAACAGGAGCGGATTGGGTTGGAGAGGTTTACTTATACTTGGACAGGATTTTGTATCTGACTCCAAACGAGTCGACATCAGCCACCAAAGAAGGGCGAGGAGCTATAGCTTCAGTGACATCTTTCTCTCGGGGAAACCGTCTTCTTTGACCTTGCACCTTTGGCAGAGAAGTCTAAAGACCTTATAAAACTACAGCTCCCTTGATTCCATAGAGATGTTCCAGAAGCATTCTCTCCTGACGTTTCGCCCACATCTATGGCAGGCATCTTCAGAGGTTGTGAGTGTTGGAAACTAGGCAAGTGAGTCCTGGCTCTTCAAGTGGTGTATTTATTCTACAGCAGGTAAGGGCAAACTTCGGCCCTCCAGGTGTTTTGGATTTCAATTCCCACAGTTCCCAACAGCCTACCGGAGTTGAAGTGCAAAACACCTGGAGGGCTGAAGTTTGCCCTTGCCTGTTCAACAGTATAGATGCCTCCAGAGATGCAGACAGAGGACACAGAGACAGGTGCCTTAGGTTGTTGTTCAGGAGCTGGGACTTCGCCCATGGGCCAGTGGGAGGAGAAAGCCGGCCAAATCCTGAATGTCGGAGTGTGGACATACTCCGTTTCCGCCCCTCCCGAAGAAGCCCTTGAAGCGGGATTCTCCCCACTCCGCCCCAAAACGCCTCCTCCTCCAACCCTCCCTCTTCTCTTGAACCTAGACAGACAGGCAAGGAAGGAAGTGTAGGAGGAAGCCATCGTTCCTTTGCAGCTTTTTTTATTAGAAATATAAATATTAAACGCTCCTCTTACACAACCAAGTCGACCGAGCGCTGAAAATATGTTTTATTTGTGGAAATGTTTACAAAGAAGGACGAACGAAAGGGAGGAGGGGGAGAGAGGAGAAGGAGGAGGTCGAAAGAGCAGATACAGACAGAGCCCTATTTTGGGCACCCACAAATCCCCTTCCCCAGAAGAGTTCAAGCTCCCCTTCCATCTGCCAGGGCTTCTGGACTTCCCCCCTCGAGGATGGGGCCAATCTGGGCGGAAAGGGAAGGGAAGGGAAAGGAGTGGGAGGCGGGAGAATAAGTTACAAACCACACCAGGGCACAACGTCGGGCATGCTACTCAAGGGCATCGAGGGGTGGAGGGGCTGGGGATATGGACAGACCGTACACGCTCAATGGAGGTGAAGCTCTCTCATAAAAATAACGAAAGAGGAACTACACCAGGGGCATCCGTGTAAATATAAGTCGAACTGGAGGGTCTCTTTGGTGGGGGAAAGGGACGGGATGGGTGTGAGGTGGGGGAGGGGAGAGCCGCGCGCTTCATTTCCCGATGATTTCCATCAGTTTCCTGTTGCTGTGAGCCTGCTGAGCCAACTGCTCGGCTCGGGCCATCTCCAAGACTTCTCGGAGGAGGTGGAAAGTCAGATCTAAGGAGATGGGCGGCTCCTCAGAGCGCTTCTCCTTCGGCAGGGCCTCCCCTGCGTGGGCGCCGTCGCCTTCTTCCCAGGGCTGCTCGGCGGCGGCCACGGCGGCGATGGCGGCAGCGCCCCCTAGCGACCGCTCTTGGAGCTGCTGCAACTGGTGCAGCTGCTGGGCCGCCGCTCGGAGAAAGTTGCCCGTCGCTGCCAGGTGGCTGCTGCTGGAGGTGGAGGAGAAAGAAGAGGAGGAGGAGGAAGAAGAAGCAGGATTCTTACGAAGGCTGCCCAAGCGCAGGAAGTACTCCTCTCCCATGCGGAGCAGGACGGGCAAAGACGCTGGCAACTGGTCCGGGAAATCCGAGGGCTGCGAGGCGCTGGAGTCGGGTGGGGGCGCCACTGGGAGGCCCTTGCTGAGGGCTCGGCATTCATGGCAGCCGGGCAGCAGAGCCAGCAACAGCACCCCCGTCGAGACCAGAAGCTGGATCTTCATGGTTCGGCCACCAGATCTGGAGGGGAGGAGAAAGAGGAGGTGGGGAAGGGAAGGAAGAGAGCGAGCGAGAAGGAGCTGCCCTTGGTGCTGAAGTACGCCACTGCCTTGCCTTGCCTTAAAATACTCGACTGTCCCACTCTTGCCCTATCCTTGGTCCTGAAACACGTGACTGTGCTACCCTATCTTTGGTGCTGAAATACTCCACTGCTTTGCCTTGTCTTTGGTGCTGAAATACCTTGCCCTGTCCTTCGTGCTGAAATACACACACACCCCGGCCCTTGATGTGGAAATATTCCACTGCATTGTCCTGTCTTTGGTGCTGAAATACCCCTGTTCTTCCCTGCCCTTGGTGCTGAAATACTCCACTGGCTTGCCTTTGCTTTGGTAATGAAGTACCTCCTATTCTTGGTGTTGAAATACTCCATTGCCTTTCTTGCCCTGTCTTTGGTGCTGAAATACCCCATGTTCTGCCCAGCCCTTGGTGCTGAAATACTCTGCTGCCTTGCCTTGCCTTTGATGCTGAAATGCTCCCTGTCCCACCCTGTCTTTGGGGCAGAAATACTCCCTGTCCTGCCCTGTCCTTGGTGCTGAAATACTCTACTATCCTAAACACAACACCTGGTATTCCTACGCTGTGCCCAATCCACTACCTTGCTTGCCTTGCCTTTGGTTTTTAGTTTGTTTGTTTGTTTTGTTGTGTCAGGAGTGACTTGAGAAACTGTAAGTCGCTTCTGGTGTGAGAGAATTGGCCGTCTGCGAGGACGTTGCCCAGGGGACGCCTGGATGATTTGATGTTTTTGTCATCCTTGTGGGAGGCTTCTCTCATGTCGCCGCATGAGGAGCTGGAGCTGATAGAGGGAGCTCATCTGCCTCTCCCCGGATTCGAACCTGCGACCTGTCGGTGTTCAGTCTTGCTGGCTCAGGGGTTTAACCCACTGCACCACCGGGTGCTTCCTTGCCTTTGGTGCTGGAATACTCCACTGCCTTGCCTTGTTTTTGGTGCTGGAATACCCCCTGTTGTGCCCTGTCCTAGGTGCTGAAATACTCCACTGCTTTGCCTTTTCTTTGGTGCTGAAATACTCCACTGCCTTGTCTTTGGTGCTGAAATACTCCCTGTCCCGCCCTGTCCTTGGTGCTGAAATACTCCACTGACCTAAACCCAACGCCTGGTATTCCTACTCTGTCCCCCATCCCATACTATCTGAGACTGACCCTGCTCAGCTTCCCAGATCAGAGGGATCTTGTGCTTCAGAGCGTCTCAAATCAACCTCAGCTTTAATTGGTTCCCACCCGATAAATCCTGCTCAAAGAAAAAGAGAGAAGAAAGTTTGCTCTCTTTCTCTGGATTACCTTGGAGGGAGCGGGGAACGCCCCGAATGAGAGGGGCGAGCAGTGGGGAGCTCTTTCTGAGGCAGGCTCCTTATAGGTCAGAGCATGGACTGAGCACTTGAATGAAAGCGAGAGACCTTGGCATACCAGACGCAGGTGCAGCAACCACTGAGCGCAAAGGCAGCGAAAGTGCCTCCACCGCCCAAAGAGTCTTTGATGAGGGAAGAGGGAGCAAGGATTCCCGCCCCAACGTGCCGGAAGTGGGCACCCAATGGGGTACCATTGTGTTTCCTTACTTGGAAACTTATCAGTGACCCTCAGTTAAAGACTCGAGGACCAGGACCAATCCCGGGACCACCCCTTTTGTCAATATTCCCGGTCTATATTCCTTCAGCTCCCTCCTTCAGGAGTCCAGAATGACTTCCTTTTCTTAAACCCCACATGGACCGTTGCTGCTGATGCCTCTTGCCTGTCTCTACCGCCCACCCTTATGGGACACAATGGTTTTTCTTTGCCTGGAAACTGGCCAGATAAAGACTCGGGAGCTTGGACTAGTCTCTATTGCTCTAGCTAGTAGTCTCTATTTCTGTAGCCAAAAGTTTATGCTGCTATAGATAGTGGTTTACATTGCTTTCGTTAATATTCTTTAGTATATAATTATACAAATATCCCCTATTAGCTATAGCAATATAGACCATTAGCTATAGCAATACAGAGAATATTAGTATTGCTAATAGTCTATATTGCTATAGCCTATGTTCTCTATTGCTATAGGTAATGATTTATATTGCTATAATGGTCTATAATGTTACAGATAATAGTCTATATTGCTAAGCTAATAGTAGGTATTGCTATAAAGATTAATATTGCTATCGCTAATGATCTATGTTGCTATAATGGTCTACATTGTTATAGGTGACGGTCTCTATTCCTAAAAATAATGATTCATATTGCCATAATGTTATGGCTAATGGTGTGTATTGCTATAGCTAATGCTTTATATTGCTAAAATAGTCTATATTAATATATCTAATAGTACGCATTGCTATAATAACCAATATTGCCATAGCTAATAGTTGGTATTGCTATAATAATCAATTTTGCTATAGATAATAGTTGATATTGCTATAATGATCAATACTGCTATAGATAATAGTTTTATTGCTATAGCGAATGCCCTATGTTGCTCTAATGGTCTACATTGTTGTTATAGGTGATGGTCTCTCTTGCTACCATGGTCTCTATTGCCGGATAGAGAAGGGTCTCTCTTCCCTTAGCTCCTTCCTTCATGAGGACTTTCTTTCCTTCTGCCCCACACAGGCATCCCTATGAGCTCCCTCACACCTCAACCAGGCTCCAACCCCATCCGCACACACCCTTCTCCCAACTCTCCTTCCTCCTCTTCTCCCGAATCCCATTCCCACGTCCCTCTCTCCTTCCAGGGCAAAGTTGGCCAGGTTTCCCGGGCTCCCTCGCGCTCTCCCCTTCTTCCTTACCTTCGAGACTCGGAGACTGGAAGCGGCCAGCGGTGGGGACCCGCCTGCCTTGCCTTCCTTGCCTTGCCTTGCCTTGCCTTGGGGCTGCCTGCCTGCCTGCTTGCCCCCTTCTCCGTCTGGGAGCGCTTCTGCTGGCGTCCCGGGGACCCGAGCGAGGGCTTCCTAACGGGAGCCGGGTCTGCCGGGTCTTTATAGGTGGGACCCCGTCGGGGGATCACGCAGCCTTCGCCTAAGAAGCTGACGCTGGCTTGACAGCTCGCTTGCTGAATAAATCATGGGGGCCGCTCCGGAGCAGGCGGCGGCGGCGGGCAACGTCCTGCGATCGCAACCCCGGAATCTCACGTCCAATTATATCAACAGATATTTATCGCCTCGTCGGTGACGTCAGCCCAGCCCCGAAAGAGGGGAGGGGGAGGCGGACGGGGAAGAGTGACAGGACACTCTTCTTCCCATTGATAAAAACCCTTGAATGAAGGAGAGCGGGGAAGAGGGGGCGCGCGGGTGGCCTCAAGGGACCCCTCTGGCTCGGCAAAGTCAAGGCGACCCAAAACTTTCCATAGGGAGGAAAGTAGAGTTGCCTCCAAGGAGAAGGTCCTGCCTTTCCATAGGAGAGAAAAACACCTTTCCCCAACTTTTCCAAAGTCCCTACATAGGAAGTAAACTTCCTCCTGAATTCTGGTAACTGGACTGAGGATCATTGTGACTCATTGGGAAAGAAAGTAGGACTAGTAGAAACAACAGATGCGTCTACACTAGGCCTACTCAAACTTGGGCCCTCCAGGTGTTTTGGACTTCAACTCCCACCATTCCTAACAGCCTCAGGCCCTTTCCTTGGGTGTGCTGAGGTTTGGTTCCAGGAACTAAAATCCATGGGTGCTCCAGTGCCATTATATATAACGAGGGAGTAAAATGGTGCACCTTATATAAAAATGGCAGAATCAAGCTCTGAATTTGGGGGGGGGGAGGGGGGAATTCCAAGCTATGGATAGTTGAATTCGTGGGTACAGAATCCATGGATATGGAGGGCCCACTGGTTCCCAATTTCTCTTTCCCCCTTGTGGGTTTGATTTGCCTTGTAACACTTCCCAACACTGCAATGCAACCTGAGCCCTGCCACGTGCACAACGGAGGACCTTCTTGTAGCAACATCAGAGGCACTCCAAGTGGGCAGCTACTGGTCAAAGGACATTTAATAGAATACCTAGTCTGCAAACTTTGTGTTTTGTTTGTTTGTTTTTAATGCAATACAACTGTTTTGGTTCGCTCCTGACACGATAAATAAACTTCCCAACAGAGGATTCCTCCGGGCAGCAACCAGCCAGGCTTTGAAGCTGCAAGGTCATTCAATGCTAATCAAGGTGGCCAATTGCAACATTCACACCTGCCTCAAGCAGACAAGAGTTCTTTCTCCCATCCTGGACATTCAACAAATATATAAATCCCACTTGCCTAGTTTCCAACAGACCTCACAATCTCTGCGGTTGCCTGCCACAGATGTGAGTGAAACGTCAGGAGAGAAGGCTCCTGGAACATGGCCATACAGCCCAGAAAACTCACAGAAACCCTTGTCTTGTATTGTTTGGGTTTTTTATTTCCTTCCCAAGGTATCTTGTGCTCTCAATTATGTAGGTTCAATCTATAGGGAGACCTAAACATGTGAACGATCTCAGGGATTGGAGTTCATGGGTCATGTTTGTGGGTCCCTTCCAAAATCTAACCCCCCTCCCTCTTCTCTCTCTGCCATCCTTGCCACCCGACTCTTTCCATTCAGGGGCCTCTGGATGGAAACCCAGGACCATCGATATCTCTGGCAGGTGAAAAGTCGACCAGCGCAGACTGATCGATGGCCTTTCTTTTTATGGCTCCAGACTACTTAATGCAGATGAATGGCTTCCTCAGCATCCAATACCACACCCAGCATTTCCTGTGGGATGCCAGAATGGGGAAAGAGCAGAATTTGGAAAGTTACTGTTAAAAACAAACTACAAGAGGAAAAGTGCACTTGTAGTGCGGATGGCCACTGGGCGGCAGACTGATTGGTGGATTCTGGTAATCCAAAGAGTAACTTCCTGAAGCACTGAAAAAATGAGTTGACATACTTGGATCCCTAGTAGGAGCAACCCATCCAATTTGTGAAGTTGGTTCCTTATTCTTAGGTCTCAGTTGGGTTGTTTATTCCCAGTCCCAGTTTGGTCTATAAGGCCAATGAAGAGTAAGTCCACACTGTAGAATTGAGGCACCATTTGAACTGCCATTGCTCAGTGCTATGGAATCATGGGAGTTATTGTTTTTCAAGATCTTTACATTTTGCTGTCATTTTTTAACCCAGTTTGGTTCTCCAGATGTTATTGAGCCCTCACTGGCACAGTAGGTTAAATCCTTATGCCAGCAGGACTGAGGACCAACATGTTGGAGGTACAAATCTAGGGAGCATGGATGAGCTCCCTCTGTCAGCTCCAGCACCCCCACATGGGGACACAAGAGAAGCCTCCCACAAGGATGATAAAACATGAAAACATCCGGGCGTCCCCTGAGCAACATCCTTGCAGACGGCCAATTCTCTCACACCAGAAGTGACTTGCAGTTTCTCAAGTTGCCCCTGACACGCACACTGAATGACAACACCCATCACTTTTTATTATCTGCCATGTGTACTGGGGATGATGGGAATTACAGCTTAACAGCATTTGCAGCTGTGAGGTTGGAGAAAGTTTAAAGGAAATTTTAATGGCAGGGGCGGCTCAACCCATTACGCAAAGTAAGCATTTGCAGTATAGTTGATGTTGCCCAGGGGAGGCGCTCTTGAGGTGCTCTTGGGGGAAAATAGACCTTGACATATGCAAGTTGTAGTTACTGGGATGTATAGTTCACCTACAATAAAAATTGGGCCAACTTATCTATCCGAACGTATCTCAGCCTATCAGCCCACCAGGACCCTAAGATCTTCTGGAGAGTCCCTGCTCTCTATCCTGCCGGCTTCACAAGTGCGGCTGGCGGGAACGAGAGACAGGGCCTTTTCTGTGGTGGCCCCTCGGCTTTGGAACACCCTCCCTATAGAGGTACGATCAGCCTCCTCGCTGATGGTGTTTCGGAAGAGATTGAAAACATGGTTGTTTAAACAAGCATTCGGTTAATCCGTTGCAATCGAATTTTGATGACTAAAGGACTGGTAATCATGGACGACGAATTTTGGATTGTGATTTTAGTTACGAGATGCATGGGATTATTATTGGTGGCCCAATAATTTGTATTGTATACGTGTTTTATGTTTTAAATTGAATATTGTTTTTAATTGTTGTAAACCGCAATGAGTCGCCGACTTAGGCTGAGATATTAGCGGTATACCAGTGTATAAATAAATATTTACCTACAATCTAAGAGCATTCTGAACTCCACCAATGATGGAATTGAACCAAATATGGCACACAGAACTCCCACGACGAACAGAAAATATATATCAGTGATTGGTTGGGGGGGGGGGGGAATACTGTTTGCTTACTATTGAAAATTACCTAGGGCCGCCTCTGTCCACAGGCCTTCTATCTAAATTCGAACTCCACTGTTCTTACTCAAAACTGCAGCCTTCCAGATGTTCCTGTATGACAACTCCCATCAGTTCTAGGTATGATGTCTATTGAACAAGAATACAGGAATTCTTGATCAATACACATCAGTCCAGCATCTGAAGGGCAACATAAAATTACATGGTGGGCTGGATTGGGCCCACGGGCCTTGAGTTTGACACATGTGTTATAGCTGTTGGATCCTTTTTAATTGACATGGTGCCTTCCTGGGAAATCCTAGGATTTGGAATTTGGTTTCCTCCATGGCAGGGGGTTAGACTAGATGGCCCACATGGTCTCTTCCAACTCTATGATTCTATGATTCTATGAAGCAGTTTAGCACTTGGACAGAGAATTTGGAGCTCTGTGTACCTAACTGCAAACCCATGGATAGCCGTGACAGTTAAGATTATATGAAAGCACTGCAGCTGTGTAGTGCGGACAGAAGTGAAACTGACAGAAGTTTCACTGACAGAAGTGAAACTATGGCCTGAATCCTAAATACCAATTGCAGGAAGATCTATTTTTTCAGTGGGGTTTCTCTATGGGTTGATTCACCATTTAACAACTGAATAGGTTTACTCTAGTTAAGAGTAATAATAGCCAATGTAATAATAGCCTCAAAAAGTAGGGAAAGACAAAAACTATGGGTACATCTAGTATTGAAATCTGAAATATATACAGAAAGTCTTGACACCACTTTAAATCAAATGGCTCAATGCTATGGAATCCTGGGAGCTGTAGTTTTATAAGGTCTTTTAACCTCCTCCATTAAAGAGTGCTGGTATCTCACCAAAGTACAACTCCCAGAATTCTACAACATGAAGTCGTGGCAATTACATTGGTGTCAAACTGCTCTGTAGATAATATATAATAATAAACTTTATTTATATCCTGCCACCATCTTCCAAAAGGGTATCAAGGAAGCTTACAAGGCACTACATGAGTATAAAAATAATATCAAATAAAAGTTATAAAACAGCTACTATTAACACAGCAAATAAAATGAAAATACAGTTTAAAATGTAAACCACCTGTAGTTAAAACTAGCTGCCTTCAAATCACAAGTGTCTAAGTGTCAACCTCATATGGGCCCATTTCAGCCTATTTGAGGCCAAAAACCTGCTTAAAAATCAATGTTTTTAGGCTGGATCAGGAGGAGTCATGGGTGGGGACTAACCTAATCTCTTTTGAGAGGGTATTCCAGAGCCAGGTAGCCACTACAGAGAAGGCCCTCTCTTTCATCCCCACCAATCGCACTCGAGATGATGGTGGAACCAAGAGAAGGGCCTCCCCTGCTGATCTCAAAGCCTGCACCAGTTCATAGAAAGAGATGCAGTCTCAAAGATAGATTAGGCCTAAAGCATATAGGGCTTTGTAGGTAATAATCTGCATTTCAGATTGAGCCCAGAAAATTGTTGGAAGCCAGTGGAGCTGCTTGAGTAGGGGCATAGTATACTCCCTATAGCTAGCTCCAGTTAGTAATTTGGCAGCCAACCTTTGTACTAACTGCAGTTTCCGAACTGTCTTCAAAGGCAGCTCCGCATAAAGTGCATTACAGTAGTCAATTCTTGGATGTAACTAAGGTATGGACCAGTGTGGCCAAGTCAGGCGACCACTGACACTGGAGCTTTAAACATTGACGAGTCCAAAAGGACACCCAGACTGCAGACCTGTCTCCTCAGGGGGAGTGTAACCCTGTCAAGCACAGGTTGCGATGATGGGGGGAGAGAGTAGGGTTAGATCCTCTGCTCGGCCATGGAAACCTACTGGGTAACTTTGAGGGAGTCACGCACTTCCCACCCCAGAAAAAAAACGTGATAGGTCCCCTTAAGGGTTGTCACAAG